AGTATTATATTCAGTTAAGGCGAAATGCAATAAAATTTTCATCGTGACGTTGTAGTGACGTCATTAAATCTCTCAACGTCACTAACACTTTAAGGTGAATTGTAGCACCAGAATTAGAATTTACGACATCTTAAAATTGAGTGCCGTTCGAGTATTCATCCCTCAAACAATAAAATCTCTCTTCCCTCTTAAAGTTTACTCAAAGAAAACTCAACAATAGGTTAAGCTCGCCTTTGTACACGTACTTTTTTTCGTGTTTGATATGTGTAAAAGAAAACCTAGATTTGTTTTCCAGCGAAATCTCAATAACTGCAATTTTTTTTATTTAAAAAGGTACTCCAAATAATATTTTATTACATTTTGACTTACAATACCACACCAGGTATCAAGAATATCAGTCACGCCATGTATCGATTTGTGCTTTTTATTTGCAACGGCCTCCGCGCCACAGACCTTGTTGTCATGACTATTTGTGTGCTAATACGGCCCGTATTTTTACTCGTACATTAATAAATTAACATGAAGTCGAGCACTATATTTTAAATCAATCTCTTGATTATTTGACATTCTTTAAAACACTGTCGTTTAAACGAAAAAATGATAACGGCGCACATCTAACACAGGGCTGCTGATAAACAGACATAATATATATTTAGATAACACCTATATGTAATAAAGAAATGTAAGAGACATAATGAATTAACCTTCCATAACGATCAAACGTATGTCTAACATATACTAACTTTTAAACTTTCGCGTTCCATGATAATTAATATTATTTAACGGGAATTAACGCGATCTCTTATTTAGGGTATTACATACCTCTGGTTTGCCTGACGTTTCGACCAGGTTGCACCGGCCGTGGTCACAGGCTGACTCAGCCTGTGACCACGGTATATGTAATACCCTAAATAAGAGATCGCGTTAATTCCCGTTAAATAATATTAATTATGTCTAACATACATTTATAGGAAATAAATTTACTCAGTTAAATAGATTAATTTGAACCAATCGTACGAAAAATGTTTTTTATACATATAAACTAGTTTTTTTTGGTGGTGAAATTGCAATTTCAGTCTTAAAGTACGAATATTATATATTTATATTATTATTGTCATACTTATATAGCAGTGACTAAGTTTTTATTTTTTCAATGTTATACGGGTTAAATGGGCAGACGAGTGACCTAATGGCAAATAGGGATGGAATGGATCGGTGGTGCAGCGGTAGCATATGCGACTGCTGCACTGAGGTCTCGGGTTCGATTCCCAGGTCGTATCAAATGTTTGTATGATCTGCAAATATTTGTTCACGGAGTTAGGTATTTTTTTGTATAAAATGTATGTATTTACAAAAAAGTAAAATAAGTATTCTAACAGTCAATCTAGTTTTCATAGTAAAAGCTCTGCTTAGTTTGAAACTAGATGGCATTGTGTCAGATGTCCGAATTATTATTATCTTATTATTATATTAAATCATATGATTTATTAATCATATCCTCACAGCTGTGACTGATTTACAAAACCACAACTACTTCATCATCATGCTATCGCAGTCCACTGCTGGACATAGGCCTCTCCCATTGCACGCCACTTAGATCAAACAACTACTTAATTATTATTATTACGCTAGCGCAAGACTCGTGAAAGATCAAAACCAAAAAAAAGGTCGTAATCTTCAATAAAAAGAATTTTGATTGATTTTAATGCCATTTAAAGATAAATTGCATTAAAATCAATCAAAATTATTTTTGATAAAGATGTCTATGACGCAATTATAATCACCTTATAAATCGCGGTGACTAAAACCAATCACTTCATCAAATAAACATGATTTAAAAGTTGCAAAAATTTCCATGTCTAATGTCAAGTGACTACTGCCGCCCATACAGCTCAAGAGACACAATCGTATTGCCGCCCATCCAATCCCCTCTCCCTCTCTTTGGGTTACTCAAAATTAGGGAGGAGAAGGAATCGGTTAAAGAAAGACAGCCTTATCGTGACTCTTCTTCGCTTAAATTTATTCAATTTATTACTAAATTTATAGGTTTAAATACAGTACTTAAACATAAAGTGACTGAAATAGCGCCATCTAGTGCAATGTCTTTATAATTAGACACAGTCAGAAGTTTACGTTTACAAAAGTAACTTATTCTCATTAGAATGCTCGATTGAGACACTGGCAGTCGGCACTTTCTGATCCAATCTCTTCTCAAACTGGTCGCTTGAAATAGCTGTTTAAGCATATGAGGGTGATCTGAGAACAGAAATAACTTGTGGTGGAATAAGTGGAATTGTGTACAAATGATTTCTAAATATGAGATTACGTCTAAATTTCATCGAATTCAACCAAATGAATTGGGGAAAAGCTTAAACAATTCAGCATGTTTTAAGGCGTTTTCTTACTCAATTTATACTGAAGTAATAGAGAAAGAAAAGCTATAAAACTAAAAGGACTGTCCATGTCGGAAACCATTGTTGAAGTAACTTGAAAAAGGTGAAAATTAGGAAATTTGTAATTCTTGATGTAAAATCTTCTATGACTGTTATATTAAAAAAAAAAAATCGAGATATAAAGGTTAAGCGAACTTTCAATAATTTTTTTTTAAGTTAACTGCCGTAAATGTGTCAAAAAGAGGTGCATTTTATTTTGTTTTATACCTTTGAGATTATCAAATTAACTAACATCTATCTACCTAGTTTTTTACCTTAGTCGGTATTAGATACCTTTTCAAGGAAGTCCTAGGAGGCTCCATTAGACTCAACAGTTGTTGGTACCCGTCTCTGCATAATATCGATCTTGAATGCCAGCTATCACGTTCCACGTGACCTTTGCGTTTATGACATCGTAAAACCTAAACTAGGTTACTACTTACACTTAATAGTTTGCTGCAAAAACAATAAAGAAAACGTATTATTTACTACACGTAACAAACATTTAAAAAACCTGTCATAACAATGAAGCTAGTTCGTTAAAATATCAGACCCCTTCCTTAGAATTGCCTAGGGAATCACTACATACTTAGATCATTAATAAATTTCACCTCCCCTCAAATAACGACAGCTCAAAAACTCCAACAGGGAATATGCACGTGACACCAAAATGGACAAAATATTTTTATTTGTAATTTTTATTGCTAAAAAAAGATACCCATACATTTTTTTTGAAATTTATTATAATTTAATAGTGAAATTTAATCATAAAAAATTGGCTTTTTCAAGATTCTGCTATTGGTTGAATAAAACGTGACGTCAACCTACACTGTCAAGAGTGTCAACAAGTTGTGTGTATTTGTAATATTTGGTTTCTGGTGATTATTTGTTTCATTTTAAGTTAATAACTAATACGTTTTCAGTGTTAAATTATTGAATTCCCGTGTAGAAAGACTCAACACAATGACTGAATATACTTTGTCAGGTGCAGTTTTGATTGGTTTAATATTTATAATAAGTTTTTATTGGCTTTCCATGGTAATAAGTTAATTTTTATCACTCACTTTTTTAACTTTCAGAAACTTTGTGAACTTCACTCCGTTGTTGACAACGAATTCGTCTGAAAGTGTAATCTGACGTCACAAAAAAAGCGCGCCAAAATGGACGTGTTCAAATTACCCCAAAATGATAGTAATTTTAATAAATTTTTTTTGCTTAACGGTTTATATTTCGGATGTGTCATATTTATTTTTGGTAATGTAATAACTAGTAGAATCGTTAAAAAAATAAAAAAAATACATGTATATTCCCTATTACGGAAACGGCGAAACGGCGTTTAATGTCAGTAAAATATATTAAACGCTTGCTTGGAGCTACAAAATTAGTAAAAATGATCCAAGTAATTTTCAACTTTCAAGACCCGACAAGTGAAACATAAAGTTGGATTAAATTTTAATTGCCAAGAATTCGCACGAACTACGGTAAAACGATGATTACGTATGAAGGAGCGCGCTTTTGCAACAAAATACCCACAACTATAAAAAATTACAACTCCCTCAATTTATAATTGAAAACTATTTTTTATTATAATATTATATAATGTGTTAGCATGGTTAGCATTTACTGTAATAAGTGTAACTATTGTTATGTTGGATACCTGTACTTGATAACGTATGGATTAATTACCGTTAACTATTTGTTAACCAATTGTTATGTTTTTATCCTTGTGACGATAAACACTATTAACATTTTTACTGGTCATTATCTTATAAAAATGATGTAAATCTTATATAAGAATAAATGTCTTTAGATCTAACCACTAGGTTGTTTGAGTTCTGAAGTAATGGTGCCATGTGTGGATGAAGTTTTACTAGAAAATAATAAAAACAAACCAGCCAACTTCTACATGCCAACGTTAGTGACAGCTACGTTCTAAACTCTTGAAACGCCATTGTTCTTTACTAGTGTGTTTGTACATAGTTGCCAACAATTGACCACTATATTTTTCAATGCTTTCACAGCATGGATAGTCTATCCATAAATATAAATGATCTAAGGTAATATAAATGCTGAAGAGTTAAATAGATAAAAGACTTTCAGCTCATCGCTACTACCATGTATGTAAAACTGACGAAGATTAATTTCATACAATGCTTACTGAGAAATATGCCATAACACATTTTCTCATATATGCCATAAACATTTCATGTGGATATAAACTGGTATTAGATTCGAATTTGTATCTTAACTTTGTACTACTTTAAAAAACCGCGATAATTTATCAGAAAAGTCTTAGTAAGTAATAGAAAGGAATGCATTACGTACCTACGGTATTTGAGAAAGTAAAATATGTTAAAAATGTTTAGTGGATAACCCCAAAGTAAAAAAAAGAAACGAAATTTTGTAGTAAATTCAGTTTTAGTTTTTATGTTCAATACACTGTTTAGTAGATTTTGTAGCTAAAACCGTAAGTCTTATAATAAATTAGGTTCCATCAAAATTGTCGACCTTCTTAGATGTCTCATAAAAGATAGAAGTCATTAATCATTACGTTATCATTTGTTTCAGACAAGTTCTCTCCCACATTAAGAATATTCCAGAATTGATACTTCTTGGACATGTATCTCCTACTGTCAGAAGACTTCCCATCTTCTCTCTGATGGTGAAACATCCAAGAGGAACATTCCTTCACCATAATTTTGTCAGTGCAGTCCTCAATGATGTTTTTGGCATTCAAGCGCGAGGTGGACTTTCCAGTAATCTGAATTACGGATCAGATGTTCTAGGCATTGACAACCAACTTCTAAAGGAATACGAAAAATTGCTAGATGTTAAAGCGTAAGTATTTTTTGTGAACACAAGTATGAAATTCAGATGTAAATGAGATCAATTGGCTAAAAAGAAATAGTTGTAACTAGTATATACGAGATAATCTGGTTAAAAACTGTTATTGGTAATAAATATAAATTGAACGGCTGATGTTTAATTTAGCGGGATATCAAAATACGTTTTATGTGTTTCTTTTTTGAACAAAACATTGCTTGACAGTTTAGCGAAGTAGGCACTACCTTACTTTTTTATCCCCTGATATATAGTTAAGTTTAAAAATCGTATTTGTACATATCCATTTTAATTTCTTTAAGTTTTGCGTCGCGTACAATTTCAATACTATTTAAACTTGGAGTGTTCTTAAAATTTTGAAACATGGGTTTACGTCATCTACATCTATAAATAGTCATTGAAGGTTAAATAATTTGCACGAGCTTGTTAATATGAACGCGAAGATATTTATCATTCTAATTTATGTTCCAGACAAAAAGAAATAGCTCGGGTTCGAAAACTCAGCGACTTGAAATCACCGGATGTTCCCATCTATAATGAACATTTGAGACCCGGATTCTGCCGTATTTCCCTTCCTTTCTTCATGTCAGATGCAGAACTTGCCTTCGTTCTTGAAGCACTAAAGATGGTTGCTACAGAGGGATGGAAAATTCTACCACAGTATTTGGTCAATCCAGAGACTGGACAATGGCGACACCATAGCTGTTCGGTGATCAGAGATAGGAAGTCTCTTCATTCTGTACGATTCAACGATGGAAAGATGACAGCCCACGAAAGACGAATCTCTGGTTAGTACTTTTCAATAATAGTTACTACGTTAAAAACCAGTAATAACACCAAATTAATTAATTACTGCTATTTTAGGTCCAGGTATTTTCCCGCAAACGTATACAGAGTGTCTGCAAACCGCCAGAAATCTATTTAATAGAGCGAGAAAGCTGGCAATGAAATGCTCAACAGTGGAACCAGAAGTCAGTTTCAATCCACGTATAGACTATCTGAGATGGTTTATGCTGCCAAAAGAAGCCCATGACCTTCTGTTAGGTAGATCAGCTAACGTCAAGCATATAGTGCCATTTGATCCTTCGGGTTTCACGGGAGCCAGAAATAGCCTTAACATTTCAAGATCTTCTAACACATCATCGCCGATTTTGGGATCGTCTCCGAGGCATTTTAGTTTATCAGCAATAGATGACTGCCAAATAATTAGGTTAAAACAAAAGCAGAAGTTCTACTCGAGAGAATCTAGCCTTCGCGAAGCGCAAAAAGAAGATGCAGAGACGTCTCGTCCAGTACAATTTGCAGTTGGTGAATCTGTTTCGCCGTTACGACTGATATCACAGTCTAAACAACCTCTATCCAGGTCTAGGTGCTACAGCTTGGGTTCCGACATTCCAGCAGTAGCTCTTAGCGCCAAAACAAAGATGAATTTAGGCTTAAAGGAAACTAGCCCGAACAATGTAATAGAAAAATCAAACTTTTGTAATTGCGGAAGTCAAACGGACCTTCAATCTTTAGATGACCCAATGATCTCACCTGGTAAATCATACCAGTACAGAACCCACAGTAGCACATCAGTATCAGATTGTAGCCAAGGTGGTCGAACTTCACCTACTACTTCGCTACACTCTCATACTTCTGAGGATCTACATGCTTACGTTAAAGAGATGACCAGAGAAATAGCAACTGAAATCAAATCAGAAAATTCGTGAAAGTTATATCAAAAGTAGATGATATTTTAGAAAACTCAGATGCACTAGAGCAATCAAATTTAAGTATGAATTCAATATCTAGTCAAGGGGACAACAATTCCGTTTCAGTTATAGATGTAGCCGAATATTTAATGGGAATGTCTAGAGAGATGGCTTCAGAAGTAAAACATGAAATTCGTGAAATGGTGAATCAAGTAGATGAAATGATTTCACCAGAATTCAATGGGGTCTGTTCCCGAAAAAGCTCTCCACCTAAGCCTGGAAGACAGAGGATTGGTTCGGCAGCGGAGTTAGGACTAGACCTTAAAACGTCTACACAGTACTTGAAGAAATGTCCTACTAGCCCTATTTTACCGACCCATTTGGATGACGAAGATCGATTTCTAAAGCGTTCTCCAAGTGCCACTTCACCAAAATCAGCCCATGGCACACCTTCGCATGAGAGTTCTGGCCCTAATAGTATATCATTCAACTCCAGTGAAACTTCTACACCAGATACTATAATTCAAGTAGTCACAAATCAGAACTCACCAGTACTTCCTAAATCATTGAGTTCAAATAAATTGTCTGATGATGAAGTAAGCTGCAACGATGCAGCATGCAAACAGTGTTGTATAAAGAAGAGCTGGTGTCAAAATCCGTCCGTCAGTTCACAAGACAGTGGTATCAACATGACATTCATGGAAACAGAATCATTTTTAGAATTTGGTAAGTAATAAATAAATGTTTTCAGCTAATGCATCCGTCTCAGATGGTTTTGATATAACAAAAATACATTTTCTGTTTCCGTTCCATTCTAACGATATCAACCGTGGTCAATGTCTATGTATATTAATCGATAAAGACATTTATAGAATCTGGTATTTGCCCGCCACTGACCAGTATTTTATTATTGGATACTTTTAAACCACGTGTTATACGACTAAATAAAAGCAGGAGAGCAATAATTTACTGTTACAGCTAAAGCAATAAGTTATTGAATATATCTCTAATCGCAATTCCCTCTTGGAAAACTAAATATAAATTGTTTTAATTGAAAAATTACAGTTACACGGCTAACTTCCTCAGATCCATCGGGCAAGTCAAGAAAAGCTCTGGGTCGGTACCGCGTGTGCCAGAAGCATGAGAAGAGCGAAGTACCGGACATAATCGAAGGAGTGCCCGTGTGTTCGGGTGACCACGTTCGCCAGATCAAGAGCTACGATACCAGTGATCCAAGCAGAGTTATTTTCAGAATGCCTGAAGACGGAGACAGACAAAATATGTAAGAACACTTGCACACCACATCTTTTAGTTTTTAGTGACTAAAAGTCTCTACAAAACTAATCAAAATTAAAAAATCACTTCATCTTTCTATACACCTAGCTGTTTTGTAAATTATAATAAAATCACGCTTTACTACTTAACATTAATAAGTATCTTACTTTTTGTTAAAAAGCTTTTGTTGCTTTTTCTATATATTGATAACTAGCTAACCCGCGCAGCTTCGTCTCCATCTCTCTAAAGGAATAATTTTCTCCGTTTTTACAAAAAAAAAATCATTGATACTCGGGTCCTGTTGGTCGTTAGTGACTTTTTATAGCCTTTCTCGATAAATGGGCTACCCAACGTTTAAAGATTTTTCAATTCAAACAGTAAATCGCACGTCTTGAAGGTAGTGAAAAATACATTGAAAGACTCCGTCACGCAAATACTTTAATAGATATTGGTCAAGCTAATATAGACGGTCTTAAACGTGAAATAGCGTGCTATTTTACTATTGCAGATTTATTTCATCACAATGAAATAGAAATTCAGAAACAATCTACTTGTTTTTTTAACAAACAAAATAGCAAACTAACAAATTAAAGTATTACAGATGTAGTAGAAGCGTTACCAAAAGTCAAACCAAAGTTCATTTAACTTTACATTTAACACCAAAGTTCATTCATTGTTGAGACGGAATGTTGGCAAGATCCTAGTGGAGATCAAATTCATGATATCTCCCAGCTGAAGTTCTTGGCAATAAATCAAAGTCTATTTTTAAAGCGTTCATATTTCATTTCAACAATATTTCATAATGACTTAAACTGATAACTACTTGCATATGCATTATTTCATTGAAAGGTTTGAAAAATGAATTTTGGGCAAAAAATATTTTCTCGCTCTTTTTGTAATATATGTATATATATATATGTATATTGTATAATCTAAAACCATCAGCACAAATTGCCTTCTTAACTAAAATCTGTAGGCTTTTTCTACACAACTCTCTCTTTCTGCTACTTTTTTTAAACATCTCTATTATCATCAGTTGTATGTCTGGTTTCGGCTTTGATGATTTATGTTTGGAGTGGGCAAACGCCGAGTAACAGCTTGCTATTCTTCTATTTCGTCTAAAGCATATCTAAAACCTCTAGGCTTGGTGACTTTAGTCTTATTTGGTTAACACTTAGCTTGAGTCCACCCTAATGTTGTGTGGCTGTATGCTCTATCTCTCCTCCTAAATGTGTGTGCATGTTCAGGGGAACGACAACGGTGGTGGACTCAAAGCGGTGCAGTCGTTCGTCCAATGCCTCTTCCAGCTCTTCGGACCGAAGTTCCAGGTCCAGTGGCTATGGAACTGATCAGCCATCTACGCTAGATGAGCGGTTTTATGATCAAAGGTGAATATGATCACGAGAAACTTGCTAACTCAATTCACGCAAAAATATTTGCTAGTCTTGCTATGGTACGGGAGTCGGCGTTACTTTTTGACTCACCTTAAGTTTTAGTGGTTACTACCTGTTCTAGTGGTATTGATAGATCGCCGACTGAATATTGATGTACGTTAAATAATAAATAAGTATGGTATTTTTCTTTTTCTTTTTTACAGTGAATCAGAATGTCGATCTTTCAAGACTCAATGGGAGGAAGAAAGAGAAGAGCCAGAGGACAGTTCTGCGTGTAGTGATAACTCTCTGACTGACTTCACTTTAGACGATGATGGGAACTGGCAATGCCCGCCTAGAGCTGTCTGGAAGCCCACCGTTGAGGTAAGTACAAAAAACGATTTATCTTAAAACAGTAAGAAACGCCTAAGCCTTTGTGCAAACAAGACATTGTGCAATACAAATTCTGACCGATTTTCCTTCGTCAACTACATTTTATGTGAAAAATCCTTGTCGAGATTCCTTAATATCTAATTACTTTTTGCTCGTTTTTGCTTGATATTGATAACAGCAACAAGTAGACGCTTGAAATATTTACAATATTTAGCTATATATTCACTTGAAAAAATTAAAAATTAAATAAAAATTTAATAATTAATTTTTGCCGTTTTTATGGATAATGGTACGGAACCCTTCGTGAGCGAGAACGACTCGCACCTGGCCGGTTTTTTTATTGTTAGTAATAACTTTGTATTGTTTTCTTAGTTTGTACAAGGAAATAAATATTTTTGATAAAAAAATGTCATTGTCATTAGATTTAGCAAGTAAATTTTTAAAATAAATATATCTCTGTTAACAGAACTTTATTTCCTTAAAACTTGATATTTAAAATCAATTCCAGGCCATTCAAGAGTTCAACATGATCCGCCAAGGAGACAAGGTGCTTGTGTGTCTGTCGGGAGGGAGCAGTTCCATAGCTCTGCTGCACACCATGCATCAGTATCAATTCTACGCAAGATCCAAGGGAATTCACTTCAGTATCGGTAAGTAACTATAAAGTTGCAGCCTGCTATTAGAGCATTTATTATAAGTAACGACCCATCCGTGACTCCTCTGGTAGAAAAAAAGACAGATATATAAAAAGACTGATTATATTACTCGGAGTCTTAAAAAAATGTCAAACTGGGTATAAAAAAATGTCGTCTTTAATATTTCTTTTAAACCCCGACGCAAAAAGAGGGATGTTATAAGTTTGATGTGTCTTTCTGTGTATGTGTTTATTTTTGGCATCGTAGCTCCTAAATGAATGGAACAATTATGATACGGTTTTTTTATTTTTGAAAACTGACGTGATCCAGATGCCTCTTACCTAATTTAAAAAAGGGATTAAAGGTCGGGGATGTTTTAATTTTTTTTATTGTTATTCCTAGGTGCTCTATTTGTACACGAGAAGGTGTCACAAGTGGACCCTCTGCACCTGATGGCGTACTGCAGAACTCTAGGTGTTAAATTCATTTACGAGGATAAAGTAGAAGATGATGACTCTGAAGGTGAGTACTTGCTCATTTATTCAATTTTTTTATTACAATCTGTATAAGATAAAAAGAATAGCATGATTACTTGTACCCACCGCGGCTTAGTTTATGTTGCTGTATTATATTTTTTGCACGAAACCACGTGCGAACGAATATATTTTAAACGATAACTTTATACGAAATAACGTCAGTTACATACATACAGATAACATTTTTGGGTAGTTACAGCTCTCATCAACTACCCGTATGCATTTAATAAAAAACTGTTATTTTAACATTTTAATTTATAAGTACCTTTTATACTAAACTCGTATAAAATCTTTTATCAATCTAGTGTCGTCACTTGTCAAAAGGTTCGGCACTTTGAGACATTAAACCTTTCGGGATTCAAACCTCAGTTTAAAGTAATATTTACTGACATGTATGAATGGTAGGGGGCGACTCAATCGGAAATACTTATTCTTAATCTTTTGCGTTCTATAATAGACGTGATGATCACTTAATACCATACTAACTATCCGTTCGGCCGTCAGAGTCGCGACCCGCAACCGGCCGTACCTATGACGTGTTCGCGTTAATAATATTTATATGATCGGGTAACGTTCCATGCGCATTGCGCAGGCTCACCGCGCTCGCAGTGGGAGCCGAGTCGCTGGGCGCGGCGCGGCACGCGGGCGCGGGCGCTGCGCGCGGCGCTGGCGCACGGCTACGGCGTGGCGGCGCTCGCGCAGGCGCTCGACCGCGCCGCCTGCACCTTCTTCGCCTCCGTCTTGCACAAGGGGGGCCTGGCCACGCTCCGAGCGCACTATCGGTTGAGGTAATTATACACAGCCGTATCATTTACATTGAAATATTATTTAGTCCGTGTGGTAACTTATTAAGAATACAGAGTGTCGACACCCCTATTCCTACCGCCGATGTCGTAAGAGTCGACTGCAAAGAGAAGGAAAGCCGACCCTACATAAATATTGGAATAATAAATTTAGATTTTAACTCCCTTTAGTACTAACAATTTGGAAAATTTCCATAGTCAATGGTTCAAACATTACGTTTGCAAAGATAACGTCACAGCTTACGATCATGTACATTTTATACCTAGTATAAAACTGCTTCAGATATTAACGGACAGCTGGACGCTTTAGAAATTATAAATAGGAATATACTAGAAACGAAAGATAGAATAGTTCTTGATGTTGCCAGTAAGTCTCAACATGCTCTATATACATTAACTTTATATGAATTGTCCACATACATTTAGCACACAATTTCTAATAAAATTCACGTACCATTTTTTACATTTCAGGGAGCCCGACATCCGCGTAATAAGGCCGTTGATCTACGTCCGCAAGCGAGCCCTGGAGGCGTTCGTATGCGCGCGGGGACTTCCCGACTTCCGCCCACGGGACGTCCCTGCAAGTCCCGTGCATAGTGATAATAGTGATGACCACAGGTAAGAGTTGAATACTTCTGAAATTTCTAAAAATAATGTACCAATAAAATGATAAAATGGTGTATTAACCACAGTATACAGAAGAACAAAATCTCATCATTCTTAATTGTACTTTAAACAGGTATCAAATTATATGTCCAGTAGGACATTTTAAAAGAAGACATTAAGTATTATGCTGCATTTGACAATGAGACAAACCTAGGCGACTAAGAGTCTAGTGCCTAAGGTCCGTAGGACTATTTTTCTATAACGAGTGTGACATAATATGTTATCAATAACAGAAATGTTATGACTATAACATATTTATATCATAAAATTTATTCATTTAGGATAAACCCAGAAAAAAAACCACTTATATTTTTGCCCATTTCAGTCGGTTTTAATAACAACGAACTTCAAAAAGAAAAGAAATATAATAAAATGTGTACTCAATTATGTACTTCTGAAAACCGTTATTCGAATGAGTGAACTTTATGTACTTAAGGACCTTCTGTAAAAATAATCTTAATTATCATACAGCTTTCTTCTTTGCAGCAAAGCATTAATGCACCTAGATCGGTCAGTTTCTGAACCAATCGGGTCATCAGACAAGGAACTAGGAGTCATGGCCCAGCGTTCCATCGACGAACCTCTTGAGGAACCCCTGGCGGGTTCCCTTCCAGACACCTGGGAGAGCGTAAAGGATCTGCTGGCGTGTCAGGAGAGACTGCATCCGTATCTTTTTACTAGTTTGAAGAGCGCTTTACGGCCCCTGATCAATGGCAGGTTAGTTTAGCTTATTTATTTCTAGCTGACAATTTCTACTGCGTCTATGAAAATGATTAAATTCACCCCGTTTTTGCAACATATTTCATGATGCTCGGTTCGTATAGTCCGTAGTGTGATGTTTTAAAGCCTATAGGCTAGTCAATAAAAAAGCTAAAGATTTCCTCTATAAATGAGCTATCCAACACTAAAAGAATTTTTCAATTTAAATCAGTAGTTCCTGAGATTAGCGTTTTCAATATGTACTTCAATATTGATATAGGTTTCCTTATAGTGGTAAAGAAAAAAAACGAATTGTAACCTCCGTATGGTGACGGATTAAGAATACAGAATGCCACCACTCTATTCATCCCGTGGGTGTCGTAGGAACCGACTAAGGGAGCAAAACAACGCAGGACAACAGCACTGCAAAGAGAAGGAAAACTTGAAACAAATCCTATACCAACCCGTCTGGCCAGCGTAGTATAGTAAGCCAAAACCTCCTTTCTAAGGAGAGTTCTATATAGCAGTGGACTAGTAAAGGCTGTGGATGATGTAACGCTTTTTTGTGAGGTTTGAAACGCATTGAATCTACCGAAAGATGCGTCATTACAGGGTAAATGATTGAGCCGGAGTACTTTTTAAATGTGAATAAAACAAAGAAAACCTTATGCCAATCAAATAGAGATAAATTATAGTACTCAATATTAACATATTTGCGCGACTACTGAAGTCTACTCGTATTTTGCTTCTACTAATAGCCTAATAACTACTAAACTTCAATTTCACATTTTTTTATTTAAAAAATGTAACTAATGAAGTCTACATGAACTTGTCTTTAGATAACTTTTTCAAATTTTTATTTATAGGTTAAAATTAATTAAAGTTTATAATTTAATTAAATAGTACATATTCTATCATAACCTATATTTTTGTATTTAGTTACAGAACCATCGACAAAGACCAAAAAGAGAGACACAGAAAGAAATCTGTAATTCAAATGCGCAACGGCGAACCTGTGTACGAGTCTGATGATGACAGCGAAGAAGAGTTACTGCCTTAGGTGACAACCAGAAATTGTTAACAGCTTCTAGCTGTTTTGGGATGAATTAGAACCAGTAAGTGACGTTTGGTGATGGAAGTCATCATACTGGTGTATTGTCCTGATCCAGGTGTCAAAGACTTTATGGCTGAATGAGTTTTGAAGCCATTTGAAGGTCCAGTGTAATTATCGGTGCCATTTATCTATTGTGAGAAGACCAATGATATACTACTTCTCTTGTTTACCTTTAAAGACAAAGAGAGAAAAATATTTTGAAAATCACATCGATTGGTTTTATTTGAATATTTTAATTGAATTAACGTATAAATTATGATTGTTGTGTTATTGTCGTCAATTTTTATAACTTTATGATGATCACTGTGTGCTCTAAAGGGCATGCCAGTTATCTAACTGACAGTGAATATAGATTGTAGATTTTAAGGTGTACTTTTTCTCGTAGTTGGGAACTAAGTACCAAAATGGTCATTATATTAAAGATAAGTAGTGCTTGCTTGTTTGTAAAGGATTTCTAGATTTGATGCTTTGCGGGAATATCGATAGAATTAAAATTATGGATTTTAGAGTACGAAAATGAATTTGTATAGTATATTTCCTCGAATGAATAATAATTTCTTTTCCTAATGAACATTGGTGGAATCTTAAAGATTTATGGTCTTTTGGGATATTTAATTCATTTTGACCAATTTGTGAATTGAGTTGATATTCTCGCAAGTTTTGATTTTGTATCCTAGGCTTAGAAAGCCGTTAATTTTGTGAGTACCTCGTATCTTGACGTGTAATTTAAAAAAAAAAGTTGTCTTTGATTCATGAAAAAAAAATATTAAAAAAGTTAGGACATTCTTTACTTTTTAAATTTAATTTTCGAATTGACATCCTTCTCAATTTTTTTTTTCTTTCAAGGCCATTTTTTTTTTTATATTTTCGATATAGTTCTTATGACAAGTATGAGAATGAAAGTTTTAATTCGACGTTTTAGTTTTTAAAAGCGCCATGTTGATATAATTTTGTTACTAATACTGAGGTACAATTTATTATTATGAGTGGAATTGAACACGTGCATTTGTTACAGTCTGTTAATGTAATGTTAAGAGATATATTTTTTAATGTTGTGTATTGAGTGTTAAAATAATGCATGTATTGCATAATGAGAACTATTTATTCTGCCGTTGTTTAAAGAAAATTATATTCAAGTGTTTATTATATTATACTGATTTTATTTTAGGTTTGTGTACCTAAAATATTCGTAACGAAGGTGTTATTGCATATTATATATAAGTTTATAATAGTAGTAATAAGAGATATTTTTAATTATACTGATATACAAAAGTAGTGGTTACAAAGCTGTTATTTGTACAAATACGTAAATTTAGAATTTACGCTTTTTCTATGACGCATAACCATTATATGTTCAATGATGAAAAAAATACTTACACGTTTTTAAAACGATTGTGTGAAAGATTAGTTTTTTAAGTATACATCAATAATCAGTTTCCCGAAGCTGCCAACACAGCGGTTGTAATTTGACGGACACCCATCTATGTTTTCGACTGAAAGACTTGTATCTATGGTGATGAATAAAAAAAAAAAATGACGGACGGTACGATGTTAAGGTCAGGTTTTTTTAGTGTGAAATCTTTCTTCTTTTTTTTATGTAGTCTGTTTAAGTAATATCAGAAAGGGACGGCACTGTTTCTATATAGTTTGACATTATGAGCGCGCGAGGTGTAAAGTTGGCTGTCAGATGGTAGGTGAAAAGTCAGGTTGCACAACAAATAAAAAAAGTAGCTGTCACTTAAATGGAATATGATTTTTGATGTTGGACTGAATTTTGAATGGACTTATTTTGTCCCAGTTTTAATTGTGTAACATCTTCCCTCTTACTTTACTGCAATTTGAAAGGAGTAAAGAAACGGAAGAGTGTTACAGAAGGGGGTAAATCGCGCGCTGTTTGAATTGAGAAAGCGCTTTCGATGCCAGTGTTAGCCGTCAGATGGCGGGTGAGGTGTCAGATGTGACATCATACGCGACTATTTTAAGGCTCGCTTGTTTTTTTTTTACTAATTTCGCAATGTTTCGTCTCAGTAACGAACTTATTTTGTATTGATCGTGTATGCGTTAGTTTTAAAAGTGATTCCTAAGTGTTAGAATAAGAATGAATTATTTTTATCTTGTAACGAGAAGTCCCATTAATTGCTTCCATATAATTATTGTATTCATATACACTTGAAGAATGGAATAAAACATGTTGTATTTAAATTATGGTTTTTATTTGATTAGTTAATGATTGATTTTATGCCTATTACAAAAAACAGACACACGGGCCATGTCGTTTCGACATGACATCGCGTGCTGATCAGGCTATCTAAGTCTGAAGATGGTCCGGAAAGTTTTCTTATGAGGACGGCTCCCCTACAGTTACAATAGTTACTTACCTATGACGGAACACCATGAGGTTTTTTGGCCGATTCGAGTCACGTGGCACTCGGCTTTGCGAGATGATGACCTGTGTGTGTGTAGGGTTTCCACAAGAAAAAAAACAGATCGTGTCATGTCAATCCACAGGTATGGAAATACATTTAGAATCAGTGAGAATATACTTTTTAAATTAGCATAGAGTGAATTTAATCATTCTGATAAACCTTACTCACGACTTCTTACGATTGACCCCGCCGCTTAATTTAAAGTAGGGTCGTGCTGTTATAATAATAAAAATATCCTGGAGCACAGAAAGCTTGTATTATGGGTTCTGGAAAACGGGTATACATCCCTTTATACATTTTTTGTTATATACACAGTCTAGGAATAACGGATAGGGGGATGAAGCCAGGACAACGTAAGGTAATACAGTAAATCTCGGATAGGGCCATGGGCTTGAAACTGGAGTAGTATGAAGAGGCTGGAGGTCGAGTCTCCGTATCATCATCCCGTGATTAGTACAGGGACATCAGCTGCACGAATGATGATGATGAAAGTTGCACGAATGTAGAAGAAAGATACCAAAACGTAAATTAGGCAATTTCTGCTTTCGAAGTTGAATTGATTGAGTGGAGTAGGTAGACAGGTTGATTAAAAACAAAATTAACTTGCTTACATTTTATTTACGTATTCGTAGATACACTTCACATATGTAGGACGTGCGTGTGTGCGTGCTCACATACATTGACACTAAGCTAATGAGTATTACAAGTACTAGTTCAGATTCTTCATTGAGACAAGCTTAAAACACTGAATGTGATAAACACTACACTTATAACATAAGCAGAGATGAATTTAATTCTATATAAGCTAACAATTATACCATATTTATAATAACTAGTATATTTTTTTCTTAAACTAATTTCATTTCATGACAGCACAATATTTTATTACCAAATTATATATTTTTAAAGATCAACTACATTATAGTTTTAATTATGTAACTTACATCTATAGTTAACTAATTTAAAAGTATAGTTTTCTTTTTTAACGGAACATCATTTGGGAAGTTATTTTAAAGAAGGTTGCTTATTTTTTCTCGCCTCCTTTGCAGCATGGTTTGCCTCCTGAAAAAATTAAAATGACTTTATTTTTTATTACCCAGTTTCAAAATGGCGCTGCGTTTAAGCGGTAACCACTTTACTCGGTGACGTTGTTACTCATTTCGAGGATTTCGATGGATTTGCCTTTTGCGAGAAACCGAGATTTCTGTGGTTTATTTGAAAAGATTTTGTATTTTGCCATTAATATTTTGTTATTTTTAGGTTTTTGATTGTTTATTTGCAGCTAAGAAAGTTAAAAAATTAGCGCCGTCGTTTGTTTCAACTATATTCTATAAACTAACAAAAAAAACTCCTTATAATGCTACTGCAGCTTCCTAATTCTATTGTGGACAGTTTTTTATTATAGCGTTTGTTATGTTATACTAGAGAACTGAGACTGGCCAAATAAAAGTATTGTCTTGTGTACGAGGAGATGAACTCTTCACTATGGATGGAGAAGGTGATGTAGATTAAAGAGTTAACGTACCAGAGGCCTTCCCATCTCCGCAAGCACAGTTAGGGCCGCATGTGCAATTCTTGCCACACGCAGCCGTACCTCCACCACACGTATCTAAAGCAAAAAAACAAAAACAAAATTGTTATTAACATTCATAAAAAAAATACACATTTACAACTACATGGTTAACATGATCATACTTTGATGGTTATCACATCAACAGCCTTTCATAGTCCATTGCTTTACATAGGCCCCTCCTTAGAAAGGAGGTTTTGGCCTATATACCACGCTGGCCAGACGGGTTGGTATAGGGTTTGCGTCAAGTTTTCCTTCTTTTACAGTGCTGTTTTTTCTGTCTTTTCTTGTCCTGCGTAGTTTTTTCCCTTAATCGGCTATTACGACACACGGGATGAATAGGTGTTGTGACATTCTGTATTCTTAATCCGTCACCACACGGATAGTTATGTATTTGGTATAATATCTATACTTTTTTCATGGCAAACGACTGGATGTCTTACTTGATGGTAAGTGACAACTGCTCCTTCAATATACTTCAACTATGGTTACTCAACTCAAGAGTTATAAGTGCGTATTTCTTCAAATAAATTAGTATTTTGCAGACTCCTTTGTGAAGACATTAATGAATTGAATCAAATTATTATGAAATGAATTAAATCTATCCTAGATTGAGAGCCCAAGTTATTTAAGCATAACAGTTTTAATTTACGTTTAAGAATTAATGACCCTTTGCTTTATAATTTTAATTTTTATTCTTTATGCACAAATACGAGTTGTACAACTGCGGACTTAATGCCACCGACACTTTCTCCCAGTCTACCCTAGGGTGGTGCTAAATTTATGACTAGGTGCACTAGGCATTGATGTGTTAAGTGAGAGAAAATTTCACGAAAGTAAGACAGTAACAATGAGATAAATATACGTAATACCCGTGTGGTGACGGAATAAGAATACGTAATGTCACCACCCCTATTCATCCCGTGGGTGTCGTAAGAGCCGACTAAGGG